ACAAAACGGTCACCGTTTGAGGCATTTGGGTAGCGGGCCTCTCCAGTGTGACCCGAAAACTGACTCAAATTTTGGGGTTTAGGGTCTTTCGGTCTTCGTCTGAGTATGCCCTGTATGTGTTGTCATTATAGCAGTATACAACTCCACAGAAAAAAGGCCTGAGGGTCCACTCACACTGGGACTTTCACCAGCCGGCCTAGCTCAGGGAGTACTTACAGTACGAGTATCTCAAATGTATATGAAGGCATCATGGCCATAACTGGATGTATCTGGCTCAGAATTCACCCCACCTAAGTTTCTTCCTTGCTAACCAGGATATCTAAAAGGGAAATTTTTCGAAATGCCCTTCAAAGTTGTATTATTTGCGAAATACCCCTCAGATGGCTGACTTACCCTGATTTGCCGCTCTGACAGCAATTGAAGTTTTTGAAAAACCCCTGGTGTCGCTTGGGCCTGACATATGTTCAATTTGCCCCTACCGGTACCCGTGCCAAATTTCCAGTATGCCCCTACCAGATAGCAGTTGAATACCAGCAGAAATATTTTCCATATACCCCTAACCGTACAGTTACCTTGCATCTTTTCGGCGGGTGTACGCGGACAGACATCTATGGCGGCCACTTTGTCTCTCTCTCTCTCTCTCTCTCTCTCTCTCTCTCTCTCTCTCTCTCTCACACACACACACACACACACACACACACACACACACACACACNCACACACACACACACACACACACACACACACACACACACACACACACACACACACACAAACACACACCAAAACAAACAAACAAACAAACAAACAAACACAAACAGCTACATTTTTGCTGCAGCACCAAAGTCGAATTCCCCACGTGAGGGCATTATGGAGGCGGAGGAGGACCGGGGCCCGCTACCTCATCGAAGACCTGCATTATTTGTTTGTTTGTTTGTTTGTTTGTTTGTTTGTTTGTTTGTTTGTTTGTTTGTTTGTTTGTTTTCTTCTGGGAAAGCCCTTTTGCAAGGCCTGTACTATCCCGGCGGCGGAGGCCTGCATGATTTGTGGATCTCCTGCAATGCATCTTCACGTTTTTGGAGGTGGTGGAGATTGCAGCAGCCAGCAGGTGACACCCCCTGAGGGGTAAGATTTGTGGTTAGGCTGTGCCATTTTGTTGGGCACGGCCGCGTTGATTTCGCTGCCTCCAAATAGAGCTTAATATGTCTTTGAAATGTATAATTAAGCTTTGTCGTTCTGTGGGACATTAAAATTTTGCAAGCTGAGGAATGCTGCTGCTTGTGATGTCAAGTGTTCTTCTTGGGAGGATCTTGTGAATGTGGCTCTCAAGGAGCTTGGCCATGTTAGGGCGAGATCCCACTGGCAAAGAGGATTGGAGTAAGCCTCTGAATCTGGACGTGTTTGTGGAGAGGTGCAAACAATTGTGATTGCTTTTCTGCATCTCTGTGTCAAACACTTCAAGATTCACCCACTTATTCCAATACTCTTTGCCAGTGGGATCTTGCCCTTATACTCCTGCACTGCCTCTGATGACTCGGAGCGAATGGAGCTTCATCCCTTGTGGCTGGCATCTGCTCGTTTAGAAAGCAGGGGGCCATTGTCATGCAATTTGCTACCTTCTTCCCCCGAACACAACCCACCCTCATTTTCACTGTATCGGGCCAGAAACATGCCTTGCATACGTTCATTTTCAGTGTGCTGGCATCTGCTCTTTTAGAAAGTAGGGGGCCATTGTCATGCAATTTGCTACCTTCTTCCCCCCAACACAACGCACCCTCATTTTGACTGTATCGGGCCGGAAACATGCCTTGCATACGTTCATTTTCAGTGTGCGTTATGTTCGGGGGAAGACGGTAATTGAACTTGGGATTAATTCATTTGACTGCTGGAATAAGATCTGGTTCAATCTCTCTTCCAGCAGCATTGACCGATAGCTTTCTCTTTTGAAACAAGTACGCATGCGGCAGGTTTTGAGTTTGCAAAGGCAAAAAAACACCCACCCCCGAAGAAAACAGCCGCCGGGTTCGAAAATGCAATTTCGGTCGAAAAGGATCCGTTGGGCCCTTTTTTTTTGGGGGGGGGGAACTGCTCCTCAGTCACCTTTTGAGTTTGAAATAGGCCAGACATGACAAAGTGGTGCCGATGTCAGTGTTTCAGTTTCAAAATGTGCAAGTTTGTTTAGCGGGGGGTTGAAACTGCTGCCATTTTTATCAAGTGGGGCTAATGCAGATTTAGCGGCGGCCCTTTTTTTGAGCCACTGGTAAAGTTGCCTACTAGAAAAGCTGGGTTCTACCCAGGAGCCGTTGGCCCCCCAAAAAATTGGTGGGAAGTGGAGCCAGGCCCGTAAGAGGCACAGCAGATGGGAGACAATCAGCAGGGTGCGTGTGGCTCATATTAGCGCATACTCGTACTAGGACTTCTTTTGTACTCAGCTCTAGGCGTTATTCTGGTCAGATCCATCCGGGCTGGACCGTAATTGCAGTCAAATACATAAATGAAAGTACTAGCGTGCTTTTCAAAGGTTGTGAGGAGTGTCCAGGAGAGTGCTGGGAGAGGATGTCCATCAGGTAGGAGGCTGTACTGACCAAGCTTAGCCTACCTGATGGCACAGTGAACCCACACACACACAGATGACTCGCAAGCCAGAGCACACAACCTTGACCACACAGTGGGAACGCCAGCGACAAGGACCCCTCAAGGCAACCTGCATGGAGGCCGGAACTGGCGCCCTCTCACCTCAGTCACCTGTGACTGAAGGGGACTGCCGTAGATCTGCTAGGATAGTGGCGGACCCTGGCACCCCCCCCGCAACTCTCCCCAACTAAGCCCACCCCTCCCCCCCACCATCCCCCCATGAACCCGCACAACCCAACTTGAAGGGGGGGGTACAGTTGGCCATGTCAGTTGACACCCTCCAGCTCTGAATGCGCATGGGCTACGGCATCCTTAGGTCGAAGGATTCCATTGCCTTTTCTTGTAAAATCACGAATTTCAAATTGAATTTAGTGAAAATTGATTAGATTTTTTGTGTAAAATAATGACTTCCATTTCCTACTGAGTAAGGGCGTCGTTAGACACTCCTCCGGGATGCGGTTCCAAGGATTTCGTCGTCATTCCACCTGTCCTCGGAGCCGGCTCGAAGGGACCTTGTGAGGTCGTTCGGAGCCCGAGGAGTGTTGGCGCCGAGCATAGGTTCTGAAGGAAAATTGGAGGCCGAAGGTGGTCCAGTCGTGGTCTAGGGGTCAGGCAACGGACATTGTCGGCCTTCAATGTCATGGACGTCCTCCAATGGCCTTGTCCGTTTGCTGTTGGCGGTTGATGGCGGCGGGGGGCGTCGTCATTTCCAGCCACCTCGTTTGGGGTCCGTGGTGTTCCCGTGGGGTCTCCAACCGTCGTTAATTTGGAATTAGTGGCCATGGTGGTGGGCACTATGTGGACAACAGTGCGTACTCTTGGACTGTTTCGGACTGTCGCGCGTCATCACTGTGTGCACATTCCACAAGATCCATGCCACGCTATCCTCTCTCTTGTATCGTTCATGGCTGACCTGCACCGCAGGCTGCTGCTGCTGCTCATCGCCGTGTTGCTTTTCTGGTGGTTGACGTGTTCCACTTGTGTTTCCTGTGGCGACTTCCTGAGAGGAACCAGAAGAGGCAGTCGTCGAAGAAGGCGAGCAGGATGGACAAACGGCTGACGAATACTACACCGCCTCCAGGGGTGGGGAGGTCATCACGTCACCGAAGTGTTCCCGCGGAAGCACATAGGCGGCCGCCACGTCATCGGACACCCGCAGATCTCCGCACATCCCGCCTGTCCTTCATTTCATCCACCATCTTGGCGTCCCTCGAGGGAGCACACCGGAGCCCAGTGCAGCGCACAGTTGAACAACAGGCTCCGAAGTTGACACACAGTCAGGGGTGTCCACCACTCTCTGTATCAGCATCGGATCCTTTGTTTGCGCCTCGATAGCTTCGCCTTCATGTGGCTGGACGCTCTGTCTACCTGACAACGCTCAACTACGGCCAGCGTCGCCGCCGCGACCACCGCCATCTTCTCAATGGACGTCAACACCGCATGCCCATCTCCCCCACCACCCTCCATTATCCACAGACTTCGAAAAGACGTGGTCACATGCAAGCCTGATTCCTTCCCCATGTACACACGTCCTCAGCATCCACGTCCACGCTTGGCTGCACTGTATGCGTCCTCAGGGCGACCGAAACGGATGATGGCACAACGGAGGTCGTCGCCCACCGAAGCTCGCACTCCAAGCTGCCACGTGTTGTCACTCAAGAAGTCGACCTGACGACGGACCACTTCGCCGCACACACCTTCCACCACGCTGCGTTGTGTCGCCATCACTCAAGTGGGCGAGGAGGAGACGGCATCAAAGGGATGGCAAGGAAAACAACATATCGACTGCCTAGCCACCGCGCTGGGGATGCATGTGTGCCGCCTAGTCGTCGTCCTTCGCTGGAACTCAAATTTTGATTTTTGGACAGGGACATTCCCAACTTTTATCTTTTATTTTTTGGGGGGGGCATGTATTCACGCCCGTCGTCTGTGGGCCAACATGCCTCTTGAGCGGACATCCCTAACCGCACCATGGACACACCTCCCACGGCCGCGTACAATCGTATAAAATTGGCCGCAGTAAGTCCCCGAGGATTCGCCTTGGAGCCATTCCCGGAGGATAGGTGGAACGACGCCGCCAAATTCCAAAATGTCCCCGAGGATTCATCCTCGGAGCCCGAGGACGCCCTGAGGAGTGTCTAACGACGCCCTGAGGAGTGTCTAACGACTACCCTCACTCGATACAAAACGGAAGTCATGATTTTACACAAAAAATCTAATCAATTTTCACTGAATTCAATTTTGTGATTTTACAAAAAAATGTCAGTTTTTCTTGAAATGTCACTTCTTCTTCTTCTTCTCCTTCTTTTTTTTTTTTTTTTTTTTTTTTTTTGTCAACAGTCAAGATCCATGCCTTTTGGAAGATCCAATGGTCATTATTTTCATTAATTAACCTCTCCACCACAGCAAAAAATCATTGAATTGTATCTTTCCTGCACCTTTTCCATCCAGTTGTTGTGTGGCTCGAGCCACTTGCGGCTCCGCAAGCCGTTCCCCTAGCCTGTACAGTAACTTTCCTAAATCCCTTGTCGCTATCCATCCTTTGCCCTCTGAGTCTAAAAGGTTGAACTGCGCTTTTATTGCCGCCTCCTCTTCACGCCGGTCAAGCGTGGAGATGCCTTTATCCAGAGACGCCGAAACATTTGTATCCAGATCCCTTAACGGAAGGCCCTCCTCTGGGGGGTTGATTGTCCCTCCTCCGTCACTATTGCAGATGTTGAGGGGACCACCACCACCACCACCACCACCACCCCCCAGCATGTATTTGCCCTTTCTGATTACACCAAGCGCTTTCTCCAGTTCCTCGTAGGCCTCCCTTTGCTGCTTCTGCCTCCTGTGCAGCTTCTGTATCAACTCCATCTCCTCCTTCGCCATTTTCGACAGCTCTCTGGCCTTCCTCTCATGCAGGGACCTCTCCTCCTCCACTCTCCTCTCGAATTCCGTTCTCGCCTTGTGCAGGTTCCGGATCTTCTCCTCCAGAAGCCTCTCTCTGAAATGCAGAGCCGACTGCCGAATGTACTCCTTGCTTTGCAAAGCCTTCAATCTATCCTCCTCTCTTCTCATCGCCGTCTCTTCTTCGATCCGTTTCTTCTCGGCTTTGAGCCTTGCAATCTCTTCCTTCTTTGTCTTAGAGTTGGCCATAGCTGAAGCTTGCCGACGCCGCCTCCTCTCCTCCTTGTTGTTCAGCACGGAGTCGTGGAAATTGCGCAGTTCTTGTTCCCTCTCTTGCTGCCAGTGAATACGTGCTTGCCGGGCATCTTCATTCCTCTTCCTCATCTCTGTGATCTCCTGGGCCCGCTTTTTGGTCTCGGCGATTCGGCGAACGGATTTGTCTTCTTCCTTTCTCAGCTGCTCTAGCCGATTAGCTAGTTTTTGCACGTCCTCTTGCGCAGCTTTTCGCGCCTTTTGTGCAGCAAGTAGTCTTTTGATAGGCAAGAACTGCCCACCACCTGCGATGCTGCTGACAGTAGACAAAGCCGGAGGCGCCGCCAGGTTGGTGCTGTAGGGGTGGGGGTGCGATTGCCCACCACCATGGGAATGAGGTTGATCTGACGGTTGAGCGAGCGGCTGAGATTCATAGGGAAGGGGACCCGCCTTCCTGATCAAGGTACGATCGCTTGTGTCGCCCATGTCCTCCTTGTCGACACTGCCGCCCCTCTCACCCTGGTAGTAGCCTCTGTCACCCCCAATATTGAAGTGCCCTTAATTGATGATGAGACCTCGGAAATTTTTGCCACTACAGGTTTTTCCATCCGCACTCTCTCTTGTTTCCTTCCATGATCCAGCATACCCGCCTGCACACACAGAAATCTTTCATAGTTATCCACGCAATCATTTCATTAAACAAAATCAACCCCCCCTTCCACTGTGAAAACACTGTCAAGTCAAATACAGCGAGGTGGATACCATAGTCTCTACTATCTACTTTACATATATTGTTTAAAACAAACAAACAAACAAACAAACGGTGATCTTCCCCCACCCCCCCCTGCACCAATTGTTACAGGAACTTTTGTTTACTGTAGTTCCTAACAGTAAATTATTTGTCTTGTTTTGGGGGGGGGGAGGGGGGGGGAGGGGGGGTTGGTGTCTATCATTTGTCCCGGTATCTATAATTGTATCTATCTTATAGATAATTACCAAACTGTGACTTCCTTGCCCCCCGACCTCTACCCTCGTCACCCCTCTACGTGTTGGACGCAGGAATTTTTTGTTTACAGTAAAATATTGTCTGTTTGCTTCATTCAAGTTCATTGTATCTAAGCACATTGTTGTTGTTGTTGTTGTTGTTGTTGCTGTTGTTGTTGTTGCATCACTGATGCGGCATGGCTGCACTTACAGAAGAAATGGGCGCTCGAAAACCTGTTCTAGAGCTGTCAGAACGACTCTAGAAAAGTAGTAGAGTCGCCATTGCTCCGCTTACTCGATAAGTTAACTCTAGATTTTTCATTCCTTGAGCTGTCAGAGCGGGTCGGTCCTTCTCACTCTACTAGATGGATCTAGAGTACCAGGCTGCAAAGGCGGTCCTTTCTTAGGGAGGTCCGAAGGACCCTTGAAACGCCTTGGTTTTCCTTGAGTGGGCCTTGAGTCTGGGCGGACAACCCAGGCTGGCGCTGTCCTGTAGTGCAATGGCCAAACTCAGGAAGTGACGGAGCAACTCTAGCTTTTCTAGAGTCTAGAGCTGGTGCGGCGATGCGTAGATTTTTGTGACTTTTCGTGACTCTGACAGCTCTAGAAGGACTCTTGAACTTTTTCACGAGTCTAGAACAGTGCAGCGAGACCCTATATCTTAGATACAAGCAACAACAACAACGACCAGAAAACGGAAAAAAAGAAGGAAAATGAAAATGCAAATGAAAAAAAATATATGAAAAAATGTCACAGTGACTGCATTGTGCAAGAATCAAGTGTAGTATCTGTTCTGATCAGTTTAATATCTGATCCGTGGTCCATCGGGTCACATGATATAGAGGCCAAGGACTAGACCCACGGTGATCTCTGGCAGCAGCATCGGATGGTTGTCCTGACAAGATAAGCCACCTTCCCTACCCTTCCCCACGCTAATACTCCCAGTGCACCCCCAATCCCTACTATCCGACCTCAGTGTGACCAGCACTCAGGTCCATCACCCTACCAGTATCGAGGGAAACTCGGACCAGACAGCAGTGACAAGCACCAAGGCTGGGCAACCCCCCAGCCCGGTATTATCGTTGTATGTATATGTGTGCCCAGAGGCTATGTATGCATGAGCCCGTACTCTGTGTGTACGAGTGTAGTGGAGCGAGGCCCGTCGTCCCATTCGACAATTCTTATCTCGTGTTTGTAGCGGATGTAGAGCCGTAACGCTCAGTAATCAGTAAAGGTGCGGCACCTGCCAGTGGGGATTGAACCCACGACCTCCTGGGGCGAGGTCCCACTACTAAAGAGGGATTGGATTGAACGCCTGAATCTGGACTTTTTCGTGGAACGGTGCAGAGCGTAGCGATTGAACTGATTTTCTGCATCTCTGCTTGAAACACGTCCAGGTTCAGGATATTTATCCAATCCTCTTTGCGAGTGGGACCTCGCCCCTGAATGCCACGTGGGTGCCTAGCCACCGTCTTTTTTCCTTTTTTTTCTTTTTAATTTGGACCATTTCTCGATTTATGCGGGTCATCCTTGATTGCGCAGGGGCCATTTGCTAAAATTCACTCTTCTCTGTATCGTTCCAATTTTAACGGATGTCCCGATGGACTCCACCGTCTACATTCTTCTCCCAATTTCAGGCCAACTGCGACGTCATTTTTTCATTTTTTTCTCTACACAAGAACGGTCAATAACGGAGTGCCTTGGTGTAGCGCATGTTGAGCCCTAACGGTCAGTAACGGCCGATACTGGTCAGTGAGGGTCAATAAAACGGTCAATAACAAAAAAACAAACAAAAAAAAAAAAAAAAACGGGTCAATAACGCAGTGAATCGCTCCAGACGAGATGGCGGTGGTAACGCGGCATAACTTTTGAAAAAATAAATCAATAAATATTAAGTAATGATGATCCTACCGCAGTGAGTCATGGTATGGTGTATTTCTGTTAACAGGTTTTTTTTTTTTTTCTTTTTTTTTTTGGTGTGTATCCTTAAAAAAAAAAAAGCTGTGAAACGGTGGGTATGATGCATGCACTATCGGGTGCTTCAATGGTAAATAAAAATAACACATGCATGCACTATCGGGGGCGTGGTCGCACTAGCAAAGAGGATCAGATCGAATGCCTGAATCTGGACGAGTTTATGGAGATGTGCAGGAAATAGAGATTGAACTGCTTTTCTGCATCTCTGCTTAAAACACATCCAGATTCGGGAGCTTGATCCTATCCTTTTTTGCTAGTGGGACCTCGGCCCGGGTGCTTCAATGGTAAATAAAAATAACCCATGCATGCACTATCGGTTGCTTCAATGGTAAATAATAAAAATAAAACAATATCTAGAATAAAAACAAAGGCACTGGCGTACAAGAACAGACAAAATGTGGGGCGTGACAATCATAACGGCGACATAAAAAAAAAAAGCAAGGGAGAGAGAGAGAGAGAGAGAGAGAGAGAGAGAGAGAGAGAGAAGTCCCCTCTGCACCTACCTGATACGCTCCATATTTTTTTCCCCTTTTTTAGAGGGTATTTATTTCTCGTAATTGCTCAAAATCCAAATCGCGTCCTTGCAAATATTTGTTGCGCATTATTATTTCAACCACCAGATCAGTTAATCAACGTACAAAAAAGCGAAGCAACACACCGGTAGGCATGGTAAATCATTTAAGCAATCGATCAAGCAACCAGCCACCTAATCAATCAATCAATCAATCAATAAACCAATCAGTCGATCGATCAATCAATAAATTAGTCAATCGATCAATCGATGAACCAATCAAGCCAGCAATGAATCAATCAGTTCATCAATCGATCAATCAATCAATCGACCAATCAAGCAAGCAACCAACCCATCAATCAATCAATCAATCAATCGGTCAATCAATCAATCAATCAATCCATGAATCGAACAATCAATTTGTCAATCAAGCAATCAATTTGTCCATCAAGCAATCAATTTATCAATCAAGCAATCGACCCATCAATCAAGCAAAAGATCTAGTAATCATTCAATTCATTCAATCATTCAATCATCCATTCAATCATTCGATCAATCGATCAATCGGTAAACTAATGAATCAATCAATCGCTGAAATCAATCAATCCATCAATCAATCAATCAATCAATCAATCAATCAATATCAATAAATCAATTGATCACTGAAACGATTAATGGGCAAAGCACATTAATCTAACAACATGTTTCAAGCGTTCGATTAGGCAATCAACCAATCAAGGCACTTCTCAATCAACCATCTCGACGCCTAATCAACCAATCAAGGCACTTCTCAATCAACCATCTCGACGCTTGGTAGCTGACCTGCCGCCGCATTCCACCCCAAGCATAGCGCCATCAAGCTCAACAACTACACGATCAGTTCAATCACCGTCCCTCATTCACTCAAAAATGAGACCACCCCCCCCCCCTCTCTCTCTCTCTCTCTCTCTCTCTCTCTCTCTCTCTCTCTCTCTCTCTCTCTCTCTCTCTCTCTCTCTCTCTCTCTCTCTCT